TTGGACTCTGTGTTGTGGACTCTGTGTTGTGGACTCTGTGTTGTGGACTCTGTGTTGGACTCTGTGTTGGACTCTGTTGTTGTTGTGGACTCTGTGTTGGACTCTGTTGGACTCTGTTGGACTCTGTGTTGGACTCTGTGTTGGACTCTGTGTTGGACTCTGTGTTGGACTCTGTGTTGGACTCTGTTGGACTCTGTGTTGTGGACTCTGTGTGTTTGTTATTTAATCAAATTGAACAGATCAGCGATCAATATCCTGATCTTTTGTTTCCACCAAAACTGATCACAGTCATAAAGCCTGGACCTTTTTCACAGCAGCCATTTTGACATGTGATAGTCAGGTGAACTGTCAAAGTGGCTGCTGTGAAAAAGGTCTATAACGTGATACAGTACAGTGAACTTCTTACTGCAGTTACATTAAAATATAATCAGTAATTATATTTTATATATGAATTAATTTAATATTAAAGTACCAGCTGCAGCGTCCAATAATATATATGTTGATGGGTTATTGTATATATCTGCACTGTGCAGTGCCGGCCCGTGGCATCGGCAGTATAGGCAAATACTAAGGGCGCCGTCCATCTAGGGGGCGCCACAGTGGGGGAAGAAAAACAAAAAAGCTGCAACTTTCAATATTTTTCTACTAAAACTAGTTGGTGCTATTATTTGTTAGTATGAAAAAAATAAGCCCACATTAATTAAACTGCCCCCCCCGACTGATTAGACTCTACCTGCTCTCGGCAACTTTCCGGTGCCCAGGGAAGGAAAAAAAGAAAAGAAGAGGAGGAAAAAAACGCGACAGACAAATGTTTTCCAAGACAGATTACAAAGTGAATAGGGAAGGACTGAAGGACTGGAATGCAAAATGCAAGCCACTTGCTCAAGGTCCATGAAAATAGCCACATGCTCACATGGTAACATGGAAGGACTTGGAGGTCCGTTTTGCAAAAGGGCTCACAATAGATAAACAAGAGATGGCACTCGCTGAGGCTGAGAGAAAAAGGTGGCGTAACGTTCTACATCGATTGGTGGCAATAATTTATTATTTTCTGTTTTGTTTTGATTGAGCAACTTGTTTCTCTAAAAATAAAAGAAATGTCAAAGACAAAGT